TAGGAACAATGGCCTCTGCTAACACTTCCGTCTGGAAGAAAACTGCTCCTCCAGCTCTCACCTGATTCTAGACAAGTTAATTCCTCCCTAAATGTCCCTAATTCCTTTAAAGCTGCTGTCCCAGCTATGGAGTTCAGAGGGAGTGAGTCCTAGTAAGTTCATGCATGGGCCATTTAAGAGAGTCTGGGATTCCAGTAGCCTGCAAGTCACTCAGCCACAATCCCTGCTGGATTTTATAGCCCAAAGATATGGGGAGTTTTCTTACTAGCACTGGAACCCTGAGCTGGGAGGCCGGATGTGGGGCTGGCACCACTTGTTCCTCAGGGGAGACTTGATATATCCTCCAACTTTAAATCATCACACGTGGATGTGGGACCAGCCAGTTCTGCATCTCCACCTTGATTTTCCACCTCTCCTACAAGTCTCAATGTGCTTTCTTCTTTAATTCCCTAGTTGCAGGATTTCCATTCAGCATGATTTCAGATGGTTTTGAATGATGATTATTCTGTAGTTTAGTTGTACTTTTGATATGATTGTGGGAGGAGGCAAGTACTGTGTTTATCTACACCACCATCTTGACCAGAACCCTGAGAAAAACTTTTAACTTTAAAAAAAATGACTTAATGAAGACTTCAGTCCTGGCTGGTTTGGGTCAGTGGATAGTGTGTCAGCCTGGGGACTGAAGGGTCCTGGGTTCAATTCTGGTCAAGGGCATATGCCCTGGTTGTGGGCTCGATACCCAGTAGGGGGCGCACAAGAAGCAGCCGATCCATGGTTCTCTCTCATCATGGATGTTTCTATATCTCTCTCCCTCTCCCTTACTCTCTGACATCAATAAAAATACATTAAAAAAAAAACAAAACTTTAAAGGGTTTTTCTAGGCTACCCTAGTGAAAAATACCTATTAGAAAATTGCTGATTATCCTTTATTTTCTTCTTTAGCTTCATTAGTTCTGTCAACTGATGGTCCTTGGCACCAATTCAATGCCAATAGGAATCCCCAAGTTAGATTGCAGTGAAGGAGGAAACTTTATTCAACGCAAATAGCTCAATTGTGATACAGCACAACTGTCAGTACAGCACAGCTTTGGAACAGCTCAATAGTGTTGTACTCATTTATGAAGCAGCACAGCTGTGGAACAACTTGACTGTGAGGCGGCCCTGAGACAAGGCAGCCCTGGGATAAGGTGGCCTTTGACTGAGGCTCCTCTCCAGCTAGACAGATCTGCTCTGCTCTGCCTGCTCTATTCCATCAAGCTTTGTGCTGGTCTGCTCCATTCTGCCCTGTGTAGGTCTGCTCCTCTCTGCTTTAGTGTAATGAACCTATTGATAGAACCCTTCAGTCTGCAGGCTGACACTCTATCCACTGACCCAAACCAGCCAGTGTTTCAACTTCCATTGGGGAAATGCGGTCTTCAGTCTTTGGTGGAGAGGAAAAGTGTGCCCTAAGTCAGAGTGGAGCTGGCATAAAAACAGAAGACCCTGTTCCTGGTCCCTTATTGATCTGTCCCCATGCAAATGAAGACTTCAAATCCTTGCAATTTGATGTAGAAGACACTGTTCTGATTGATAATAGAGCCACTCTGATTGGTGGATAAAGATGTTGATGGGAATATAGCTGTGCAACTCTGACTGGAGTTGAAATACAATTCTGAAAACTCTTTTATAAGGGTTGGCTTGTGTCAATGTGAAAGGCAGGCAGTTCAATGTAAGCTTCTCCCTGAATTACGGTTTGTGTATTTGTGTGAGAGGCCTGTTTAGAAACAGCTTCTAGGCTTTGCTTTTAAATTTGACCCTGACTACAGGCTCTTATCAGTAAGGATCTTCTTTCTCAGTGTCCACAGTTCCAATAGCAAAAAAACAAACAAACAAACAAACAAAAACTAATTTACTGCATTTGGAGAGTAACTAGTTTTCAAATGTTTTATCACCTTACCTCTGTCAAATGATTTAATGATCAATATCCTCTTCCTGTCGTAACTCAAAAGCATTTTAAAACATGTACTTGAAAGTTATTAATCTTATTTAACTAGTACTTTTTGTCCACTTTATAACTGTGATTGACTCCCCCACCACTATCAAATTCAAGGACTGTGTGGATGTGTGGCAGTTAGCTAGGTTCTACTAATAGATGTACAAAGAAACCTAAAACCAAAAAATGACTTCTCCCATTTACACTTGCTTTAATAATTTATTACCCTGAAGGTACTGGTTAATGCTCTACATTTAACTTTTTTCTTTATTGACAGTATTACAGATGCCCTCATCCCCCCCACACTTTGCCTCCCCCTTCATCTGGCCCCTGCCCCACCCCAGGCGTTCCCCACACTGTCTGTGTCCATGGGTTATGCACATATGTTCTTTGGTTAATCTCTTCCCATCTCTTCCATCTTCCTCCCCACTAAGATATGCCACTCTGTCCCCTGCATCCATACCTGGACCTATTTTGTTTGTCAGTTTATTTTGTTCATTAGATTCCACATATAAGTTAGATCATGTGATATTTGTCTTTCTCTAACTGGTTTATTTGGATTAGCATAGTAAGAATCTCAAAACACTAATCAGAAAGAATATATTAATAGCAGAATTATTTACAATAGCTAACATCTGGAAATAGCCCGGGTTCATCAATAGATGAGTGGATAAAAAAAGCTGTGGTACATTTACACAGTGGAATACTTTGCAGCTATAAAAAAGAGCAAGATCTTACCCTTTAGAATCGCATGGATGGATCTGAAGATTATTATGCTAAGCAAAATATCCAACCTCTTAATGCAAGCTATATAATTTAAAAAGTATGATCTCTGGAAAAGTGCTAAAAATTTGCTATTTCTTAACAAGGAGTAATCTTTTAACATGGAATAAGTTTCTGTAAACAGAGACATTAATGTTTTACATGCAGTTTTATTATTTTTATTAAATTTATTGGGGTGACATTGGTTAATAAGATTATATAGGTTTCAAGTGACTAAGCAAAATAAGTCAGACAGAACAAGTTAAGAACCATATGATCTCACTCATATGTGGGATATAAAACTGAAAGCAACAAATGAAAAAATAAACAAAAAAAAACTCATAGTCAATAGCTGTTCTACATTTCATATCTAAAATTGTACTACAAATAGAAATATGGTGCTTAGCTCTCTCAGTAGAAAATAACCATTCAGTAGTTTCTAAAAGTGAATTTAAACATGATTTTAGAGGAAAACAATATTTCTTGTGTAAAAGTCACATTTATGAAAGGCATAAATCAAAACTATTAAAGTTGTTCACAATGTTGATAATTAAGTCATATCAATTTTGTAAGGAAATACCAGCTAAAGCTAATGAAGATGAGTTTTTGCTTTAAATTTCTCAGGAAAACACACTAAGTCTGGCACAATTAATTAGAACCTTTCAAGTGATGAAGGAAATGTAATACTTTAACTCAGAGGCAAAGAAATGTAATGTGACATTTCTGATGTGTCACAGAAATGGTAGTGCCCTTTAGTTTTGGGTACCTTAGGTCAGAGAAAGTTACCACCATCTGGCAACTCTGACGGGTGCCATCCAACTCCTGGCTGGAATTAACTTCACAATGCAACACTCTGCCTATCAGAACAGAGAGACACTAATCAAAACATTTTAACTTCTTGATACAAATTATGCAATCAAATCACATAACCTTGGCCAGGAAGGGGCCAGTTCAAAGGGGTCAAATTCCCATTTTATAACAGTATATCAAAATAGAAAATCCACAGTGACTTTCAAAAGCCCTACATTAAAAAAACAATAATCAAGAGGAACAAGCAAACATTGTTTCATTTACAATTTACTAGCTCTTCCAGTGTTTCAGATAAGAAAGTTTCAATGATATTACATGATGAATGGGACAAAAGGTGGACTTATACAATATTGAACAAATGTCTAGATTGAATCAGACTATTGGTGTAGCTTTTCGGTCAATGTGTAACATGGGGCAGTTTTCCAAACCAGGCAATCAATCTAGTAGCTCACAGAGGGTAATGTAAATATCCTAAAATAAAAGAAAAAAAATTATTTGTAACCCAAATACCAATATCTGTATTCACTTGCACACATTCTAATCCACTCTTCAAATGAAGACCTTACTTACTCAGCATCCAGGTCACTATACCCTAATAACTTTTCAAAGTGCTCGAGTAACAGCACTAAAGCACCGCCTCTGCCATTATGGAGTCTATGGACTTATTTTATACCATATCTACACCTATTTTTGATAGTTCTTTAATAAACTATTTTTTCAAAGAAAAAATATGAAGGGTGCTCTAGGGATTAAGTCAGCTGGCAACAACAGTCCTTACATTTTACCATTCAAATACTGAAGTTACTAAAATACACATTTCCCCCAAATCTAGTTCCTGGTTAGTCCAGATGAGTTTATGTCTCTAATATTAAGTCCACCAGATGACTGTGATCATGAGAACTAGGCCAAAGCCTCGGGGAAATGCCACTACTGGTCAAGAGCAGAGTGTACTTCCCAGGAAACCTCATTTCTCTTCACCAGGGATGAGGGCCATATAAGGCCTGCAAAATAATTTGGTCTGGGCCTGCCAAGCAGGACTCAAAATTTAATAAATCTAGGACCTTTTTTTCATAGCAACATAAATTTATATTGTGAATTATATTAAGTGAATGATGTTATAAATATACAAGTGGCCCTTGGCAGAACCGAGGTTTCCCATCCCTGCTCTTCACTGTAGGGTCAAATTTGTTAGAAAGGGGACCATCATTCAGGATCTGTAGGCTGGACGTGTGTAGGTAAACCAAAAGAAGCCCTTCTATCCTTTTTGGTCATGCCTTGAATTTAGAGACCTGAGCTGTACCAGTAAGATTTGAAGGCACTACTGGACAATACTTTTTTGGCAAACTTACTCCTTCTGTCACATGCACAGGCTGAAGCAAATACCAACACTGATATAGCAGAGGGCCAAAATGAACGTACCTTAAAGTTGGAGAGGAGTAAGCATATGTAATGTTGATTACACTATCTCATACTGGTTGTTTGTTATAGCGCGAGAGAGGCAGTAGGCGAGAAAGATTCCGATCAGCTGGAAATAAAATACAAGCAAAATTAAACATACACACCAAAGAGCTTACAGACCTCAGGGTGTAGGTAGAGTCTCCTAATACTTCTGATTCATTAATGATTTCCTTCCTGAAGTTTTTCTAGATAGTTATGTTTGATACTTACTCAGCATCCAGGTCACATTCAAAGAATATAAGCGAAATTCTACTACTACTGTGACCTGGGATTTCACAACTGCAACTCACAAAAATCACCCGAGGAAAATTCTAAATGTCAAACTTTGGGGAAATGTTTCTTCCTCTTCCTCTGTTATCAAAACAAAAAGGGTATGGGCTTAGAATAAGAATCTCATCCAGTAAAATTTCCATCTGTGAGGACAGAGATTTTCCTGGAGGATCTAGAGCAGTGTTGCAGTGCTGTCAATGTTGTGTAATACCAATACCGCCCCTGTCCAATACAATCACCACTGACCATCTATGGCTTTTCAACATTTCAAATAGAGGTAGAGTAACTAAAGAAACAAATTTAAATTTTATTCAAGAAATAGAACCTTTAAAATGTAGCTAGTGGATATTTTATTAGACAAAGCAGATTCAGATATAGCTATGCCTACTACTTTAGAAATATATTATGATTAGACTTCATCAATTACATAGGTCAAAATGCTTTTAGTCTTATCTCCACAATGTTTAATAGGAAAAACACCCCCTAAATAATTTGTTTAGAGCCACAATATAGACTTTTCATGCTACAGTGAGACATAGCAAAACTCCAGAAATAAAACTTGAATCCACAGCATAGTACCCACCCAAAATAATAGGCACATATTGGATGTGGGTTTGTATGATCTAAATTTTAATTGTCTGAGACTTACATGCAACTCATCAGGGAGTTGCAGCTCAGGGGGAAAAAAAGATTCTAATAATGTTTTGACTGACTGCAGAGCAAAGCAAGGTTCCGGTCTATCTCATATTTTGTTTAATGAACTGAGATGCTGGAAAGTTGCCATAACTAAGAGGGCACCAGGTCTTTCTATAGTTAACTGTTTTCCAAAGATACACACTGTTAGTTAACTTTAAGCCTTGCTTTTTGTAGTTTCAAGACATGATTGGCTATGTAAAAAGCACAAGTAAATGATAACAAATACTTACAAGAAATCCGCACTTATGGAAAAATGTAAGAGCTAAGACATCAAAAAAATTGGAATGAAAAAGGCAAAATATTCCCTTCCAAATAAGCTAAATAAAAACCCAATCACAAATGATTTACTACATGTGTTTCATATACTGTGATGAGCAACTGAGAGTTTTGTGAAAATGTAACTTCTCTGAAAATGCCCACACTATCCAGGGCCCTGAAGCGAAAAGTTGAAGCCTTCAAAGTGAAAATCTTCTGGTGACACCTATCAGAGTGATGAAACAGTTCCTAAATACATGGATTTACCTGGAAGCAAGCAACTCCAAAAGAAATTCCAGCAACAACTCCCATTTCTGATTCTATAATGGTCATCACCTTTATAAAACAACCCTAATGGGAGAGAAAAAAAAAACTATTAAGTCAGCACCAACAATAATATTTTGATCATACATCTTGGCAGAAAGATGAGCTTTGGATATCCTAACCTTTGCCATTTTATTCAAGTTTAATGGTTCATGTAACAAGCACGGTGTTTTTGGTAGAACTTTGAGGAACAAAAGTTCCACTTTTTGGATTATACATTTAAAAGTGTTTCTTGCTAGTTGTATGAACTCAAGTCACACATTTTCTGCGTTTCCATTTCCTCATTTATTCAATGAGAATAATACCTGCTCTATTTCAGATTATGTGTATTGTGATTAAAAACTAAAAAGTGAGGCAACTCTGTATTCAGTTAGTATCTTCAAAACATTTTTTAAAAGGCTCCTTACTTCATTGTTTACTTTATCGGCATCCCTCTGAGGAGAACAATCTTCAACTTTACAGCAGCTCTTGGGAAATCCTTTTTCTATGTAATAATTAGTAACATTCCAATCTCTAAAGTTTGTGGCACCGCAACAATGTAACTGAAAAATCCCAACAAAATCATGATACGTCACATTACAACTTTGTAGTCAAACATTTAACCTATTATCTTAGATTATAATTTGTGTTCTAAACAACACTGGGACGGGGGCAGGTGCAGGGTGGAGAAGGGTCAACTGGGAAAATGGGGGACATTGGTAATACTAACAACAATAAAAATTTTTAAAAACAACATTTATTATATGTAATGATTTTTGGGTGTGGCTATTCTTAATTGGCATTATAATTCAAAAGATGAACACTTGTTTCAAACACCAAATGTTTCTAACATTTTTGGACTGGCCTTACTTTCCTGTTATTGTCGGTGCTAACAGGACTTGGGCCATCATGCCAGTGGGGACTGAAGTGTTACACATGTAAGGAGTATGATTAGGAGAAAATGGAGGTATGTCCCTTAGTACTGTCACACTCCTCTTTTCAGAGACATATCTTCAATCTCTACTGATCTAAGATTATGAGAGCATAGGACAAGTGGACAGCACCTAGTAACTAGGACCTTCATCCTCTTCTCTCAGGGGATAGGGAATGTGTTCCCCTCTTGAGAAGCCACCTCTAATTGTCACTTACCGTACTTTGAATCTTGTCTACTGCATTGCTTCTATAATCTCCCGTAGCATTATACTGCTTTAAAGCTTTCTCATAATTCTTCTTAAAGCTGTTTTTAATCTATAGCAAAGAAACACAAGGCCAATAAACAAAGTCAAATAAGAAATTCTTACATCTGACAGCAGCAATACGCATGGTAATTAACTTCTATGGACCAATCCTGTCCTCCAAGGGATATAGATTAGCTGAGGGAACTACTAAGCAAAACATTACAATAAAAGATGATAACCACTACAAGTTCAAAGTGCTATGGGAACATGTATTTATTCAAGTGGCAGCTCTATACTGCTGTATTCCCCCGACTCTAATCTTTACCGAGTTTTAATAGTATAAATTTGATGCCTACGGAATGTTTAAGTTATTTTACTTTGGGAGGCTGCACTACCACATTGTAAAAAACACTCTCATTGATGAGCCTTCACTACTAACTGAATCATTTCATAACCCCAGGCCTAACTGAGTGGAATGCTGGTTCCTAATTCAATATTAAGGTTTTCATGATGTGCATTAAGTATTTCCAGTCTTTTCTGTATGGCATAAATGGAGATGGTATCAATTTTGTGCTTTAAATAGTTTCCTATCTAAGTACCATCTCCACTTTAATAGATACTTATACAGAGAAAAATTACTAGAAATACATGTAATTATGGGTACCTTTAATTTTGTTCTGGTGATTGTTAGTCTTCAACATTTTATAAATTTTCTTTTATATTAAAAGTGGACTAGAATTTTTACAAGAAAACCATTATTGTTGGCTATGGGTTGCAAAAATATGGCTTTAAAACACAACTGTGATTTTTAAACTAATTAAAGTTGTCTTTAACTCTGTGACTTAAATGAATCCATTTTTATCTCACAAACTCTGGCTTACCTCATGTCTGAAAACAAATCCAACAATGGCAGCGACCAGTTCAACCAAAAAAATGAGAGTCAGAAACATAGCATACTGTAGGATTAAAAAAAAAAAAAAAGTCTAAGTCAGCATAAATTAGATACATCACAGCTGCAAAGGGAATCAAGGGAAAAAATGGTCTGTTCAATCAGCGTGTTTTTTATTGAAAAGGACAGGGAAAGCACAACCAAAGTGGTAACTGACAGCTGAACTATTACTTGGTAACTTTTCATAAGGAACAAGAGAAATCTTAAAAGGCCATTGCCAGTTCCAAAAAGCAAAGCCTACGAACATACATGTAAGACTTTTCAGAAACCAAGAATCACTTCTAAGGAAAATGAGGACTCACCAGTTTTAGCATCCACGCAGAAGCTCGGCAGGTAGCAAAACAGCCAAAGGTGCCCAAAAGAATGATGACAGTGCCAGTGCCGATAAGCACAAAGGGGACATTGGTGGCCTTCTCATTTAAAAGGGAGAAGTAATTCTCCAGGCTCACCTTGCCCCAAATGCCAACAGCAAGAAGGATAACACCAGTGATCTATGTGGGAAATCAGAGAACAGAAAGTTATACACTGATTTGAATAGACTTACAGTGATACATGTATATTCAAACCACAAACCACTAGGTATTTAAGAAACAATAGGTCTGACAATGATTTAGCAGTCCGTGGCCACAGAGCGTGGCTGGGATGTGGTAGACAAGGAGGGGGAGGGGTCTAAAGTGGGGTAAAAAGGGGATCTGCTCAAAAGGACAGGCCTTTATAAATCCACAGCTAGATCATTTAGGTAGCCCAGGTGGCCAGGGTGAAGCTAGAGAAGGCCTCTTAACAAAATCCTCAACCTTCATCTGATTTTTTGTGTGTAAGCACAAACCCAAGGCATACTTGCCCTAGGGATCAAAAGTTTCTTAACTGTCTTGCTCCTGCTTAACGAAACCTTCCTGGAGGGGCGGCGGGGTATTTTTATGAATTCCTGAAACTTCCCCTTCCCCCAACATCAGAGATGAGTACAGAGGGACGGTACACAAAAGCAAGTCCAAGGATAGACTGGCGGGAACGGGGCCATTACCACACTTACCTGTGAAATACTCCCCTCTGATGAAGCAGTGAAAAGAAAGAGACTATTATGCAAGCAAAAGCCCTCGGAGAGGCCGGCCCAACCCCGCTTCTCTCGAGGTCCGGGGCCACCCTCTGCATACCCTGAAGGGTCAACTCCCTTCCGCGCCCCCTACCCCCATCCCACCCGCCTCGAATTCGAAAGCCAGGCACGTCTGGGCTCCAGACTTGAGCCTCCAGGCCGGGGCGGGGTGCACGAGCTCAAGCCCCAGCAACTCGTCGCCAGCAGCCGGGGCCCCCGTTACCGCCGCCCCAGCCTCCCGCCGCTGCTCCCAGGAACCCCGGATCCGAGCTCCCTCCGCTCAGGATCACACCCGCCGCCCAAGCCCAGGGTCCCCTCCCGTTCCCGGGCGCCCCAGCCTCTCACCCAGAATATGAACGTGTAGATCAGGAGGACGCTCTTGAGACAAGTGATGACGGGTTTGGTCTGCAGCCTCCGGGAAGGGGACGCCATGACGAGCCCAGACCCTGCCCGCCGATCTGCGGGGCAGAGCAGAGAGAGCGAGAAGCGGCGCCCCGAGTCTCCCCGGAAACTGCCGAACACTTACGAGCGTCCCCCGCTGAGAAGAGCCGGAAACACTGTTCGCTTTTCCAGAGGGTGAAGTCCTGAAGGTTGCCGACAATTTCCGAGCGCCCCCTGCCGAAGGTTACTGAAAACTATATACAAAGGTTCTAGTACTGGGAATTTCTTAGATCTTTCCATGGACCTGGCTTCCTTTGTCACCAAAAATCTTTCTCCCTCCCCCCGTTGCCCCCTCCCCCCGGCCCGCCTTCACCGTCCTTATAACTTCATGTTTCTATCATCGTCAGCGCCCGCGCTGAGATTCGGCCCCGTCGGCCCTTAGTGCCCTAGAAGGAAGGAAAGGAATAAAAAGTTAAAAGTGACCTAAGACCATTTTCACTACGTGGCAAATACCCACAAGAAATGTATTTCCAAGGAGAAAGCGGGCTGCGAAGCGATACATATACAATCACACGTTTTGAAGCAAAAACTGAAGGGGAAAAGTGCGATTTACTTGAGTGGAGGGATTAGGCTGCTTTGTTTCTCTCTTGTTTTGTGCTTTTCAGTTTTTGAGCATTGTTCTATGTGGTGGGGAGAGCATAAAAATGAAAGGATTGTGGGAAATAATCACTTGTTGAAAGAATTCGAAGCTAGGTATGACAGATTGACAATACATTTTAGAATCTCCTCTTCTCACCCTCTAGGTAATTGGAAAGTTGAGGGGAATGTGTTTAAAAGTAATTAATACTGAAGCTTAAGTTCAGCCATTAGGGAAAACTTTTGAAAAGGGAAGGTGCTACAGAGAATGCCAGGTAAATGTGATCCCCTTTTAAATGTTAAAACTGAAAGGCACTCTATATTTTAACCCCTGGGTTTTAGATTAAGAACCAGCTGATCATAAAGAGGCTGAAATTTAAGGTCACACAGCTAATAGCAAAACCAAAATTTACTGTGCTAATCTTCTTTTTCATTTTAAATCATATGTGTAAGGTAGCCATGTCCCCTAGGTATGTGAACAGGTGGGTCTATATTGTTACAACACAGAGCATGAAGTAAGGTCTGTGGGTTCCTCAACTGAAGTGTAAGCTCTTTGAAGGCAGAGACTGATAGTCTGGTGTGCAGGTGTTATTTCTAGAGGACCATAGTTGCCTAGCCAACCCATTACATCACTGACACAAGCTTAACATCATAAATGGGCATTTAGTAGTATTGCTATGGCAAAAAGTGAAAGAGAGATGAATGCACAAACCTTTTTACTTGAAATCTTGTTTTAAACATACACCACAAAAACAGAAAACAGGAAAGTTCCATTGATTTGGTCACACAGAGCTTCCCTGTGCTTCAAATATTGACCTAGGACCAGGTCCTTTTAGTATCATGCCAGATGTCCGAGGCCCAAGAGAGCAACTATTGGAGAATGATTTACTGTACTGACAAGCTTTACACTAGAATTTTATCCTAAAATTACAAAAGCCTAACACATGAATACATGTAGAGAATGGGTAAATGATACACCTATAATCCTATTAGCACTGAGGCAAGGTCGCCAGGAAATATAACATATATCAACTTTTTAAGTACCACATATGCCATAGTTAGAAAATAAGGTGTAAGGGGGACTCTAGGTGTATATAAAGATTTCTTCTGAGGCTAGATAATACTACTTTAATAAGTAGGAGGTTTTAAAGCACCTCCTACTTATTAAAACCTATTAAACAAGTATCAAGGGAAGTCCTGTTAATTCCTTGTCAGCTTAAATGGAAGTTTCCCCCGAAATTTAGGTTTGTACAGTGTCCTGGAAGAAATTTTTGTTGTGAGCCCCAGAGCAAAGAAATATTTTTGTGGCTGAAGAAAAAACAAACTAGTCAAAGCAAAAGCCACATCTTATTTCCAAAAATGTGTTGATTTTTCTCCTCTCCCTTCCTCTGACACTCACAACGCTGCTTTGTTTGAATAGCAGTCAGTGCCAAATTACACCAGAGGCTGACATGGAATTTAATGTTCTTGTGGTCACAACACCTTGCCCCTCTCTCTCCCACCCTGCTACACCCCCATCCCCACCATGCCACCAAACTCAGTTCACTTTAGTTCAAATGTAGGTATGGTTTTGAGTCCAAACCCAGATAAAAGAGGAATCTAATCACATCTAAGGCAATATAAGAAGTAATTCTCGAGTTTAGAAGATAAATTTATTCTTTAAAGTATTAATGAAGACTGTAACATTGACCATTGGCTATGTGCCAACCACAGTTGCTAAGCACTCAACACGTGTCACAACATGTATACATCATAAAAGCCATTATTGTGATGTCAGACTACTACTGGCAGCAATTTACATATGAACAGGTTCAGAGAGGCTCAGTACCTTGCTTAGAACTAAACCCTGCCAACTTCTATTTCCATCAGAAACAGGACTCACTCTGTAATAAGACATGGCTGCCATTGTACAAACAGCTGTCTTGGCTGAGAATAACCCTACCAAAGACTGCTCTACTCAGACATTTAGCCACGAACAAGGGCTCTTTGGAGTCCTTGAAATATAAGAACTTCAATCATTTCCCCAATTTTGCCTTGTATTTGGTGTTTTTTATTGAGTTTTATTTTTGCCTTCACTCCAGTAGCCCAAACACCTAAAAAGTTACCCTTCTGTTTCCAGAGTGGCGTGTAGAGAGTTCAGTACTTTTTCTGGTTCAATCTCTAAGTTTCTCCCTCTTTCTGATTAAAAAAAAAAAGACATGTTTGGTACTGAAAATGTGGGAAACAAGGAGAATATTTCCTTAACTATTATTGTTGTTTTACATTAAATATTTAATAAGAATTTTTGTACCTTTCTTATTAACTTCCTACAAACTTGAGGATTAGTTTTATTTGTTTTTCTTTGGCATTTAAACTATGCTTCCCCCAGCAAACATTATAACAACTTATTTACTACTGCTTTTCCAATGTTAAATAGACACATTAAGATTATCTCCCCAATAAACAAGACATTACTATTCCCTTCCCACCCTCCAACCTTACTCAAAATTTCTGGCCCCTACTTAAGTACCTAAGGCTAAACTCAACCCCAACTGAGAGAGATCATCCTTCCTCCACCCACAATACAAATCCCCATTCCCCCACCACTGCACATCCTCTCCTCACCCCCAACCCCACCCCATCTTCCCCCACCTCCCATCTCCCACTACCCCTACACCTCCTCTCACTCCTTCATCAGCCTACACACATACCTCTCACTAACATCAGTACCCAGTCTGACCACTCACATTCACTCAAACACTTAGCTGCTGCAGTACCTGGTACTTTTCTTCTCTACTTACCTATCATATGCCCTGCTGCCTACATGCTCGGAAACTACTTGAAGAGCCAGTGTGGCAGGCTTGTGCGCCCCCTTTTATACTCTCCCCAACACCCTAGGACACAATGCTCAATTGATGACCTCATTTGGTGGGCAGCCAATCCCTGTTGAGCTCACTGGTCAGAGCTGGTCTGTGAGGTTAATCCCTTAGTATTGACTCAAGATTTGGTTAATTAAATTAAATTTAAAAAATTAAATGTCTAAGCCATCCCAGTATTACACTGTCACAAAACTTAAGTTGAACTGCTGCATAATGTCTTGGAAACTACACTCTTAGAAACAAGTAAAAAGAATACATCTTATCTCTTATTTACATAATGAGCTTTATCATTTTTATTTTCTAATATCTTTTCTAGAATCCCTTCAATTACTTTTGTCTAAGTGCCTATCATAACATTTTAAAGCACCTATTTATTAAAATCTCATTTTACATTACTTCCACCAGATAAATATCATTTAAACACATAATTCAAACATCATCATTTAAATAAATAATTCATATGTACAGTTTTAAAAATTAGTTTCCTAAATAGGAATATATTTTATTTCTATTGTCTCTTACATATTCTCATTATTCCTTCTCTGAAATTCTTTTCTGTGTCTAGTTTTCATTCATTGTTTTTACATTCACTCCTTTCAGATTCTCCATGAACCCTTTCCTCGTTTTTTAGTCATGATCTTACCGTCTTCAAAAAAGCTCATAATATACAACTTGGGACACATAGAAATGAGAAATACTCTTAAATAGTATTGAAATTCACAATTCCAGGTTAATTTTCATTAGTTCTTTTTCTAAGAAAGTTGTTTCTAGTCTAGCCTATTAAGCTTTGCTGAGATCTCAGCTGGGCAAGTCAGTTATTAAATCTAATTTTTCTTAAAACAATTCCTTGCCTGGCTGGTGTGGCTGAGTGCCAACCTACAAACCAAGAGGTCATGGCTCTATTCCGAGTCTGTGCACATGCCTGAGTTGCAATCTTGATCCCCAGTAGGGGCTGTGTAGGAGGCAGCTGATCAATGATTCTCTCTCATCATTAATGTTTTTATCTCTCTCTTCCTCTCCTTTCTTCTCTAACATCAATAAAAAATTATTTTTTTAAAAAAACAGTATCATTAATTTTGAGAAGCTTCATATTAAAAATTTGAAATTGAGAATGATACTGAACTTTAAGAACTTAAAAGAATTTATATTTTTCAGCTGAAACCAGTTTGGCTTAGTGGTAGAGCGATGGTCTGTGGACTGAAAGGTCCCAGGTTCGATTCCGGTCAAGGGCATGTACATTGGTTGCGGGCACATCCCCGGTAGGGGGTGTGCAAGAGGCAGCTGGTCGATGTTTCTCTCATTGACGTTTCTAGCTCTCTATTTCTCCCTTCCTCTCTGTAAAAAATCAATAAAATATATATTTTTAAAAATTATATTTTTCAGTGTTATTTTCTTTGTCTTTAAATTATCTTCCCAACCAAATCATATGGACAGATGTTTAATTTAACTGAATATCCTTAAAGTCGCTAACAGTATTATTCACACAGAGTAGGTGCTGAAGAAATGTTGTGTGTGTGTGTGTGTGTGTGTGTGTGTGTGTGTTTAATTAACCCTGCCTGTTTTGGGTAAGTTCTCTCTCTCTCTCTCTCTCTCTCTCTCTCTCTCTCTCTCTCTCTCTCTCTCTCCCCATATATATATATATATATATATATATATATATATATATATATTGCTTCACAGAATGCTGTCTCTCTTCTCTCATTTATCCCCTTACTTTGTTTTCCCTATGATTTACATATTCTTCCCCCTTCACTTTCTTCTTTAAACTTTGTCTGCCACCCCTCTGTCTTTTCCCTCCAGCTCTAAATGGGATATGAGGACTTATGCAGCATCCTCATCCTAGTGTATGCTAGTCTCTGTGTTTGGTGCTAGGGAAATGAAGACTAAATACTCACAATCTGAGGACAAAGTATAGCTGACATGAACAGACTAGTATAGTAAGGTACAAGTATTGTCATAGATAAATAATAAGTGTGATAAATCCTATAACTGACACATCTGTAAAGTGATGTTATAAAAAGGAAGGTGAAGTAAACCATATCTGGCTGAGGTGGGCTGAGGGTAACTTCTGAGCAGCAAAGAGGGATAAGACTTCCACAGACCAGGAAAGGAGGGAAAAGAATAAAAGGTAGAGTAAATGTGGCTGTATAAAGGCACTAAGGTGTGAAAGGAAGAACAAGAAGTTCAGTTAGTCCAGAATGAGAAGTCATGGGGTAAATGTTTAAAACTAATCTGAGGACATAGGTAGGGTTTGCTTGTGAAAGATTCGGTATGCTCTGCTAAGAAGTTTGACTGTGCTCTTTGCCAAGATGAAGACAGTGAAAGGCTTTTTTGTTTGTTTTTTAGAAAGAAAACAACCCTCATAAAATTTATTTCTTCTCTCTCTCTCTCTCTCTCTCTCTCTCTCTCTCTCTCTCTCTCTCTCACACACACACACACACACACACACACACACACACACACACTTATTTTCTAACACATGTGCTTCATACCACTATCACTGTTGAACACATGGGAGACACTTAATTCATATTTATGATTGATGGATTGGAAATTAAATAGGCTTGTTACTGAACTTTTTGTTATCATAGCTGAAAAGAAGTTACCAGTTTGTTTGCACACACAGGGAAGAAACCCTTTCTATAGCAGTTAAAATATTTCTACTATGACCACTGATTTTTCAAGGATGGAAATGTCAAATCTGAGGTGACGGAGAATATAAGGAGTTGGCCTGCACTGTAGTAGAATACTTTCATTATCAGATACTAAAAAGAAATCTTGCTTAGTGGATAGAAACATAGTTCTCCATCAGAAGACACGAGAAACAGCTTAAGAATGGCTACAACCTTGCCATGCACAGGACATCTAGATTAACTTAAACAGCCTTCAGCTAAAGCCTCTCTAAGCATGCTTTCCCTCCACTCATTACAGAAAATCAGTCTTTATTCCTCAGCCAAGAAGTGCATGGTAATTTTTGTAAACAACATAATCTTATCAGAAACTGAAGTCCATAGAAGTTAAGTAATCAGTGCTAGGGTTTAAAAGTGTGTCTAACCCTGGTATGTGGCAAGACTACTAGGAGTAAGGAGTACTAAGGAACTACAGAGAAATCTCCAAGGAATGTTACAGCCAGCCGTGCTCTTCTTCAAATTTGAGAAATTTCTTTTCATTCAACCTTGATGTGATGCTGAGTCATAAAAAGACACTATCTCCAGTATGCCACATCTCTAGGGAGGCCCTTTAGCCAGCCTCTGTTAGTCATTACTATAAGCACAGGCATTGGGCCAGCACCATTCACACTTTCCCCTGTTCTGCAGCAGACTGAGTTCCTCTAATCCTTGTGTTCCTTCCCTCCAACCTCTCTAAAACCCTTCTCTGAGGGAGAAATAGCTATAGCTTGGGGCTAATATTGCTTTAAGGAAACTTTTGGCAGATGCGGATGTCCTAACATCTGGGCAGTTTTAAAAGAATCCAGGAGGCCCGGACAGACCGGGAGCCACTCGTTCTAGGAATGTTAAATTAGAAGTTTTTTCAACTGATGAGAGAAGCAGAGAGGAAGGAGAAAGAGAAGGAGGAGAGAAAAAGACAGCACAAAAATCCATAAAACAGGTAAGATCTGCTGCTTAACCTCTCTATACTACACTACTCCCACTTTACAACCATGGGGGGGCGGGGAACAAGATCCATGACTTGGGCAACATGGCTGGGGGTGGAGGGGAAGAAAGAACTTCTTTTATGAAATTGAATCATATGCTGTTTTTCATTTGAGCTGTGACCTGGCTGCAGATACAGGTTCCCACCACCTTCCCGATGCTCAGCAGAGGGAAGGCTGACTCCAGTGAGTCAAATTCTCAGTCTGAAATTCTGCAGGAGCTGGGCAGGAAAGCAGTCATAGTCTCAGAGCATCGGTTCTGAAAAGGAAAGCTCTTCTTGCTCCTGAACTAAAAAATTGGATTGAGGCTGCATGTGGGAGGCGGGTTCAGGGATTAGTTTATCTAGCTGTTCATGTTCCCAAATTTCTTTAAACTCCTCTTTCTCCTTTGGTTCCCTTTTTCTGATTTTATCTCTTTCCTTCAGTTCTGGCAGATTACTTTTCTTTCCAATTTCTTTCTCACATCTTTCCACTTTCCCTGCCTTCCTCACTTGCTCTCATTTTTTTCTCTACCCCGCTTCCTTGCCACTGTCTAGACAAAGTCTAAAGTCAAATAGCAATAAATTGGAAAATGAATTCATGCTATTCCTGGACTTCTTGTGTCTGTTGGGGACTCTGGCTAGAATCTGTCATCTTTTTGTGTCTCAGTTTCTGGGACTGACTCTTTCCCTGACCATGGCATTTCATTGAAAGTATGTGGGTGAATGGTTGTTTACTGAAAAGTCCAGTGGCCAGTTTATACCAATGGGCAGCAAGTTTTAATACTGTGATTTAAGAGATATTTGCCTACTGGGAACCACAGAACTCTAATCCCATCAGAGTGAGAACAGGACAGAAAATGAGAGGGCAATTGGAGCTTGCTCACCCTCTCCTCACGTACCACAGTAGGTTCTTCTCAACCTCACTTCCTGCTGGCTCAGAGGGTAAAACTAGAAGTTTAGACTTGAATTGAAAGCTGGAAGCCACTACCAAACCTCTAAGCTTCAAAAACCAAATCTAAGAACATAGGGTACATTTACTAACTAGAGTTAGGAGACATTCAGTCCTGTCCAATACCAAGTTGGTAATAATAACTAATATATAATGATTGATTCCCTATGTTCCAGGGGAAATTTTCTCTATAAGGTAGAGATGAACAACAGTGTGGTGATTGCCACTGGTGGGTGAGAGGGAGGTAAAAGAGGGTATAGGGGAAATAAAAGGTGATGGAAGGAGACTTGACTTGGGTGGTAAACACACAATATAGTGTACAGATGACATGTTGTAGAATTGTGCACCTGAAATCTGTATAATTTTGTTAACCAGGGCCACCCTAATAAATTCAATAAAAAGGAAAAAAATTAATAATCTGGGAAAGAAGGTAGATACTATTATTTTCTTATTTTATAAATGAGAAAACTGAGACTCAGAGAAGTTAAAGAATTTGCCCATATCCCCATACCTTACAGGGACAGAATTGGATACATATTCAGATCTGTATAACTCTAGTGTTCAAGCTTAGTCCATACAGGCTAATGATTTCCCAGATTAGTGGTTAAGGAAATACCAGCTAAATTGATAAAATCATCAACTAGCAGCCTTTAGATTACAGGATTCCATCTTGATTCTATATGACTTTATGTTGGCCTTTTCCTGGTATTGGTACCTCAGTTTTCCTCACTATAACTTGTACCATGCAGTATTTGCATCCGATCTCACCAAGGTCAATTGAAAATTGATTGTCTTTATGTCCTTCTTCTGTGAAGGAAAAAAGACCATAAATAACAAATAGAGTTTTGCTATTCTACAAAGTGGAAGATCCTTACAAAAGGGAAATGATAAAATAGGCATTTCTTAATTTAAAAATCTCTCTTCTTTCTCACAGATCCCACATTTCTGCTTCCTCTCACTTTTGGAAGTTTATTGATGGCCGATTTGTGAAAGTTACTTTCCGTTGTTCTGGTACTTCTGGCCACCTACTCCTATTCTTGTCTCCCTAACCATCTCTACCCCTTCAAAGGATGGCTGGTAAAATAACTCAAAGAGGAGCTCTCTCTTTGCTGCTCTTCCTGGCTCCAGCAGTGACACCAACATGGTTAGCAGGTAAGTTCTAGGAGCTGTGGCCCATTATCTCCAGGGAAGGTGGGGCCTGGACCAAGTCTTGGAGAAAGGAAGAGTTAGACTACAATGAGAGATACTTAAATTAGATACCAAGAACTATTCTTAACAACAAAGATCGTTAAACATTGTATTAGGCCACTAAGGGAGACCTTGAGACAAACTAAAAGATATTTGAAAACAAGCTATGCCCTAGAGGATTTTGCTTAGTGGATAAAGTGCTGGTCCATAGACTGAAGGGTCCTGGGTTCAATTCCTGTCAAGGGCACGTACCTCGGTTGCAGGCTTGATTCCCAGCCCTGGTAGGAGCACATGGGGGAGGCAACTAATCAATGTGTCTCTCTCACATCAATGTTTCTCTCTGTGTTTCTCTTCCCTTCCCTTCCACTCTCTCTAAAAAAATATTAATGGAAAAAATATACTCGGGTGAGGAATAACAACATGAGAAGGTTGGACTACATGGCTTTTGAGTCCCTTATCTCATCTGCTTCACTTGCCTCTGCACTTAGCTTCTTCCCTCTCTCCTTCCCTCCTTCTCTCTTTCCCTCCCCCTCCCTCTCACCCCAGACTGTATTTATAGGATGAGATTTTTAAAGCCCCTTTCTGCTAATGCTTTTAATGACAATAGAAATCACTTTCTCTTAAACAGGAATTCCATAATTTCTTCTGGCTTGTTCCTTACTTCAGAAGGGATGGACAGTTCTGGATTCCTGAATGTTTCATCCTTTGCCCCTGGAAACATAGGGAGCTGAAGAGAACAGACTCAGTGAGGAGAGGGGGAAGGGGAGTAGGAAGAATGATGAGAGGATAATGAGGGGGCAGACAGAGGTTTTTTATTTGGTCCAGCTGGCATTCCAAATGCTAAGAATATTCTGTGGTCTGCAGTGTCTGCCTTCATTGGGGGCTGAGGGAGAGTAGGGGAAGGAGACAGACCCAACCAATGGAATTAGGAAAATATCCAGAGATGAGTAAATAACAAACTGCTTCTATCACAACCACAGTCATTGCAGCTAAAATTTTCCACATGCTCTGGGTTCCTGGTGGAGGACTTTGGCAATAGCTCTGTTTGTCTGGAACAGCTGCATGAAGCTTTCAAACAAATATGCAAACTTCTTGTCCTCTTTGGCTTAACTTAGCTTTGTAGGGGGTGAAACACAGGGATGTCATTGAGATGAAGAAATTAAAGTTCAGCCCTTGGCAGAGTACATACTGTTTGGAGTTAAAGGAGCCATCCACCCCAACCTTCCAAAGCTTCAGTTCAAGTATATAACACCAAAATCCATCCAAAGACCATAGGACCTAATGGAGTGGAGATTAGATGCCTTAAAGCCCAATTTTGAATACCTATAAGAAACCTCATGGAATACAAAGGCCTTTACCTTTATCAGGGTGAAGCCTGGGCTATTGGAGTCTTGAGGAGACAGCACTTTTATTTTAAAACTTATATCCATTTGAAGTTCTCAAAGGGCTGTTTGCAAAGGTGGCACTCCCACTTGCACAAGAATCACCAAGGTCACCACTCATTCTGAGGAGCCCAGGCTGGGAAATCTCTTACAGCCCTGCAAACCCACTCATTCTTCCCTGTTCTGTTTTAGGAGACTACATGATGAGAGAAATTTGGAAATTTTCCAATAATTTTTCTCCAAATTGCTAGCTCAGCTGTCTGAGCTTGTTCCACTCATTTATTCATGCATTCACTATACATACTGACTTCTCTATATGAATCCAGCACTGTTTTGTTCCCAGCTATAGCTTTTTTCTCAGATGGGAATGGCACAAGAAAAGCAAGGATAATCAGTAAAAGGACCCAGGAATAATCAGCAGAGGTTGGGAATGGTTAAGAATATAAATAAAGCAAACAGTGGGTTAGAAGTGTATATTGGCATATCTATGCAGTTCAGAAAGTCAGAGCATATTTGCTATTATAAGCCAAACAATAGTGTGGATCTGAAATATCAGTTACTTTTCCAACCATACCTTTGTAAAGGGCAGTGCTTAGAGCAGCTGACTTTACTATGGAACCCAGGTATAAACCTCACAGTAACCACTGAGGAATGCTGCCCAAATCTCTCTACCCAAGGGCTGAAGAGGGACAAGCAGATATAACAATGCAGAAAAGGTACCCTTCTAGTTTCTTATATCTCATCTCAGTATTCTAATATTCATAGAAAATACCCAAATACAGGCAGAGAGGGGAAATGGAAAGGGTTAAAGCAGTAAGGTGATTGCCCTCACAAAGCAAATTTGGCACTGGTGCAGCTACTTCTGCACCCTGGTGGAGACTATAATTATCTGACTGAGTCTTCCCTCAGCTTTCCCACATCCCCTGTAATTCTAGAATGATGTAAAATACTTGTTGGCTTTACAACCCACACACACGGAGTAAAAAAAAGCTGGATTGCAAAAAAGATTTCGGATTTTTAGCCCTGCTGGACATTGTTCAAAGTTTTCCCCAACTGCCATGTTTAGTGGGGTGTCTGAGTTTGGTATTGAAAGGGTCAAACATCCCTGGGCTGGAATGTCCACTCTACTTCTTACTATCTGGGAAACTTGAGCTACTCCTTCACTCCTCTGAACCTATTTCCTCATCTATACATTAGAGAGAAATAAGGGTGTCAATTTCACTGAGATGTTAGGATGGCATAATGAGATAATACATGTAAACATAAAACATGTGATGAGTGATGTTTAGCAGTCATTGTTGTTATCCAGCCAAAAGCCTCTGTCATTCCTGTTTGCTCTTCTGGTAAACAGGCTTGCTCCCTGATGGCCATTTTCTTGCAAGCAAGATCTGGAACAGGAGTGTGGGGCTTGATCCTTTAGGGAATCACACACATCTGGCCTCCTGTTTACAGGAGCTGTAAGGCTTTGAGACTAATGCTAAACAGATACATTTTAGCATTTTTGAGATTTTTGCCCTCCAGAAAGAAAGCTCCCATGTTGGAAAAACAAGAGCAAGCCTGGGGAGAAATAAAGGGAAGCCACGAGAACTGAAGTAGGAAAATATAAAAGGTCAAGGGAAAGAGAAAAAAAAAATGAAGTCTTTCCTCTGGAATGAGGACAAAACCAACGAGGACATGATTTCATAAGGCAAATTTTCTATTTGATTCATTCCCTTCCTTTATTCATCAAGTTGGACTGGTTTCCCAATACCCCCCACCCCCAGTCTGTGGGAAATGGATGACTTTCATCATCTAGCCATCGGCTCCACCCTTTTGTGTTGGGGGCCCTTAGCTTCTTCCCAGAGAGGAGGCAGGCATTTGTGGTCTGGATGTTTACACAGGCCAAAGTGTTCCAGAACTAAACCCCAGCCCTGTCCAGGAAGCACAGCCTTTCCTGGAAGTGAGGAATTGTCTTCTGACTCCAGCATGGCTGGCTGCTGTATTCCTGTGCATGCAATTGGGCTCAGGGAAGCTGGAAGGAGCACTTCCTGAAACTTCACTCCGGAAAGCACCAAGTAGTATTCCAATTAGTTTGTGTTCGTGACTGATTTCCTGCCGTCTAGTGGAACACACTGTTTAGTCTCCCAGACAGCCGCAGACCTGCCTGTACCAGAGTCTGGGCCACTTAACGGAATGGGGGTAGACTGGAAATATTTGCCAGCTCATCAGCTCCCTGTTAAACTCCTGCTGATTAGAGGAACCAGAAAGGACACTGTTTGCTTTTTCCTCTAAACCAGGACAAACCACTCAGAACATAAAACTATTTTCATTTCCCCTTGCCCTTTGAGCCCTCTCTCTTTGTCTTGGCATGCCAGCCTTAGCAACAGCAACCAGGTGGCAAAAGGCTAGTGTCCTGTGGGCTAGTGGGAGCTTGAGGAATCACATCCTTCTGAGGACTGTGAGCAGGCTTGTCACTAGTGGAAAGACCCTTACTCAGGCTCTATTTTTTCCTCCTATCTGTGACAGCTGTCCAACCTCAGAGCTTGGTTATTAGTGACTCACCAAGGAAATGGATCATTTATAACCCAGACTGGTGGGATTGATTGATGATCAAGATATTTGGCTTTTTTTAAATTTTGAATGGAGGCTTTTAGTGCCACCAGTAATCCCCTCCCCACCCCATTTGCTCCTCCTTTATGCACCTAAGGTATTGAGGTTTACCCACAATAGTTCTGCTGCTTTACAAGGAAGAATTTTCCTCACTAAATATCCACGTGGTTTGCCACCCCTATATGGAGTGCCCTGTCCTCAGAAGAGACCAAGTTGAAAGGAGGAATGGTTCAGAAGGACTTGAGTGAGAAATCAATATGTCATATTAATATTGTCTTATTCATTCTAGGTTCAGGCTACTACCCAGATGAAAGCTACAATGAAGTATATGCTGAAGAAGTCCCACAGGTCCCTGCCCTAGACTATCGAGGTAATACTCTGCTTCTCAGGCTCAGAAAAGGTTTTTTCTAGCCTAAGGCCTACGCCCTCCCTGAAGCATCCTCATCCAACTTGGCTTATATGTGCCAAAACTGAAGCTCAGTGAATTAGAGGCTATGATTTCCAGTCATGAACTTGGTTACTGACTTGTTGTTTGATCTCACCTCTCTAGCACTAAGGTTTCCCATCTATTATTAGCCATTAAATATGGACTGGGTACTCCTGTAAACCTAGTCCTGTGCAAGGTAAGCCTGTGGATGATACAAAAATTTGTACCCACCAAGAAGTTTGTGTTCTGCTGGGGGAAGGATTAGTGAGGAGGCAATAGAATTAGCACATGTAGAAAAAGTGTGAAGCTATGTGGTAGCGAAAATGCAATAGATGTTAAGAAAAAGAAGTCAGGGAAAGAGTCATGAACAATAACATTTAGACTAGATCTTGAATAATGGGTCGATTTTGAGAACTGGAAAGTAGAGGGGAGGGCATTCATACAAGTAGATGGCCACTGATATAGAGGTATGAACAAACCCACTTATATAGAGGAAGGAGCTAGGAATAAACCAGCCTGATTTGACGAGATGGGATATGGGAGAAGTAATAGAAAATAAAGTTGACTATAATAGAGTGAGATCAAATTAGGAAAGGCTCCATAATCTACAAGACTCTTCTAAGGAGGGGCAGAGGACTGCCTGTGACAAATCCTGAATTCCTGTACTAGATGGAAAGTTAGACCAGGTAATACCTTCCACTTTCCCTGAGGATCATTTCAGGACTGGGCAAGCCGGTAACTCTGCCAGCATTATCTGGAGATAATTACAGAGAAGGCCCTTTTAACCCTGTTGTAAGCACTTTGTTTCCTTTATTATCTCTGAAAAGTGATAGGTGAATAGTTGCATAGATCAGAGGCCCTGGGCCTGAGCTCAAGTTCTAGCTACTCCACCTTCCAGCTCTTTGACCCCAAACAAACACCTTTATATGCCAGCTACTGTGATCTGTATTTTATAAATGTTATTTCATTTAAGTAAGGTGCATGCTTGTAGTGATACGGGAAGATCTCAAACATTTTAAGTTTGGTTTAGAAAAGCATTGGAACCGTGGGCATACTTCACTACTCTAAATGTTAAAAAGGAGGGGAAAAAATAAGAATATGTAGTAATACTTGCTTTAGGTACTTGATGTGCATATACTATTAACAGTGGTTCTTTATGGGGGGACCAAGTGGCAGTATGTGTTGGAACAGGGGTGGGAGAGAGACTTTACCCTGTAACACTTTATACTTTTTGGATTTTGAACCATGTGGCTATATTACCTATTCAAAAATGTAAATGCATACTTCAAAATAAATGCACACTTCAAAATAAAAACCTAGCATACTTACAGTGGCAGATAATAGAGTTAGAAAAAATATTGGTTTTAGAGATAGTCAAAGCTTAGGTTAAAATCTCTGCTCCTTACTTGCTTGGGAACTATGGGCAAGTTAGTTTCTCACCTGCAAGATAAGGCTTTTGGGAGAACTATTTGAGATAATGGATGTAAAGTGAAAATATAAATCATGCTGCCTACTGCACAGTAGCTACTCAGTAATAACTAACACATTCCCTGCAAGAAATTTTCACCATGCCATAATTAGCATTCTTTGGGTACAGTTGTTCAGCCAGTTGTGAATCTACATAACTGTACTGTCATCTCTGCTATATTTCTGTATCTCATTCTCATGAAGGGCATGAAGGGCACTGTCATATGCCTCACTGACTTCCACATAGCGTATCCACTAATTTCCCCTGCTCTACCAGTCTGGTGACTCTAATCGAAAAGGAAATGAGGTCAGTCTTGAATGACTTGTTCTTAGGACACCTGGAGATCAGCACTTCTCTTTTTTAACTGCTCATAAGCCTGTATTTAAATACTATGCTATCAGTGCTGTCGCTCTTACCAGGCTATAGTTTCCAGAGGCTGCATTCTTCTTCCTTTGGGAATCTAATGTGCAGCATGGTGACTATAGTTCATGTATAGTGCCAGGTGAGTACTAAACTTTTATGAAGGGGATCATTTCATAAATATCTAACCACTATGCTGCATATCTAAACTAATATAAAATAACATTTAATGTCAACTATAATTAAAAAAAACTTACATTGTACACCTTAGACATATACAATTTATTTATCAATTATACCTCAAGTAATTCTGGGTGGAAAAAGAAAATTGGGATAATGTTTTTGTTCTTTTCCAGCTTCCCAACATATTTTCTTTATATCTCTGAACCTACAAATTTGAACTTATTTAGCTCTATATTTCCTTTTACTAAATTTGCTTATTCTATCTCTTCCAATGTGATGTGTATTTTTATTGACAGAATGCTGGAGAGAAATAGGACAGGAGTGATTGTTGAGGCCCCAGCCTCCCATATAAAGTCTTTGTGATATGTGTTATGATCACATAATTAACAGCTCTGCAACTCTAGTGCTTCCAATTTTATGTAATTTGGAGATGGTGTCTCCAGATGGCAGCCTTGTGTCACAGCCACAGGCACAAAACTAATGCTGAAAGCCACAAGTGTGTTTTTGCTCAAAGGATAACTTTCTTATTGTCATCTGTCTTCATTCTATAGCTGCCTTCAAGCAGAGGCACCAGCCTTTCTTTTTTCCTTTAACTCCTAATGCACTTTTATTCAAATTCCCCTTGTTTTTGTCCCTTAGGATTTGGGGATTGAATGAGCTCATATGGGGCTTTAGCCTTCCCGACTTGAGACTAACAGACCTATGTCATACTGTGTCTGTATCCTTGGACAGGTGGCCCTCTGCCTGTTTATAGGTGCTCCTTTAAAATCTAAACCTGCTGAAGAGTCATTCCTATTGTGTAGCCAATGAGACGACTTTATGATCCTTTTATGAGTTAACTAGAGGCCCGGTGCATGAAATTCATGCAAGGGGCTAGGCCCTCGCAGCCCCAGCTTCATCTGGAAAGTTGCCCAGAAGGATGTCTGGAAGGTTGTTAGGCTGACCAGTCTAATTAGCATATTACACTTTTATTATTATAGATGGCCCTATTACCTTTTGTTCTCAGTATTGACCTGGGATTGGACTTTCATTCTTAAGCAGCCTTGTTTGATATTGCATTCTCTTCCTCTCTCTAGCTTCCATATTTGTATTATTTTAAAAATTATTTTAAATTTATCTACTGTGAAATTCACTCTTTTTGGTGCAGAGTTCTGTGAGTTTTGACAAGTGCATAGTCATGTAACCACCACCACCATACCAAACAGCTTCATCACATCAAGAACTTGCCCGGGGCTGCCTCTTTGAGGTTATCCCGACCTCAACCATTCGCCCACAGAACATTTGGATTTTTGCCAGCTTTGCCCATTATGAATAGAGGTATTTTAAAACATTTGTAAACTGGATTTTGTATGAACACAGGTTTTCATTTAATAACTAAAGTGGGATTGCAGAGTTGTGTGGCAAGTGTATGTTTACTTTTATAAGAAACTACCAAAATATTTTTCAAAGTGGCTATCTCATTTCCAGTTTCTCTCCATCCTCACCAACACTTGGTTTTGCCAGTTTTGTTTTTTTGTTTTGTTTTGTTTTTCTTTTAAGTTTAGATATCCTAATGGGCACATAATGGTATCGTTCTGTGGTTCTAATTTGCATTTCTCTAATGACTTACAATGTTGACCATCTTTTCATGTACTTATTTTCCATCAGTATATCCTCTTTAGTGATATATCTGTTTATGTCTTTTGTCCATGCTCTAATGAATTGTTTGCTTTTTTCCTTTTGAGTTTTCAGAGTTCCTTATATATTCTAGATACCAGTCCTTAGTTGAATGTGTGGTTTGCAGATATTTCTCCAAGTTTGTGGTTTATCTTTCATCTATTAACAATGCTTTTCATAATACAAAAGTTTTTAATTTTGACAATGTTTAATTTATTCTTTTTTTTCTTATATTAATTGTGCTTTTGCATGTCTAAGACCTCCTATCTCTAGATCCCAGAGATTTTGCCCTGTTGTTGTTTTTTTCACATTTTATAATTTTACTTTTTAGATTTAAATTCATGATCCATTTTGAATTATTTTTATATAAGGTATGAGATTTAGATTGAAGTTCTTTTCTCTCCTCCTTCTCTTCTTCTTCTTCTTCCTCCTCCTCTCCTCCTCCTCCTTCTCTTCCTTCTCCTTCTCCTCCTCCTTATCTATAGAAGTTCAATATTGCTCCAGCAACACTTATTTTAATAGTTTTCTTCCCTCCATTGAATTGCTTTTGAATCTTTGTAAAAAAATATTTCAACATACTTGTGTGGGTCTATTTGCTGTTCCATTGATCTATGTGTGTGTCCTTTCACCAATACACTGTCTTAATTATTGTACTTCAGCTTACAGCTTACTTTTCTTCTATTGTTACAGTCCCCCGATGGTGTTATACATTAAATATCCAAGATGGAGAAGCCACATGCTATTCACCAAGGGGAGGGAATTATCACAGCAGCTTGGGCACTCGTTGTGAGCTCTCCTGTGACCGGGGCTTTCGACTGATCGGACAAAGGTCGGTGCAATGCTTGCCAAGCCGCCGCTGGTCTGGAACTGCCTATTGCAGACGTAAGTGGTGCAGATGCTGATGTGTATATATGAGAGAGGCCAGCCATCCAGCCATTTGAGTGTATATGCCTGGAGGTGTTACTATGCTTCTGTCAAGTGAAATTTAGGAATTTTTCACAGGCATCCAAAATGGCGTTTCTCCATTCTAACATTTTAGCTCATTTTCTCTCCCTGTGTTTATTGCCCAATTAATATCAGCATTTAAACAGCAACCAGCTCTCCTGGTTTGGGAGGCCAAGGAGTGGATGTAAGACTTGGGCCTGGGGCTTATGTGAACCTATGCCTTCTTTTGGCACTCTCAAGGATGTGTGGTCTCAGACTTTCCCACACTGCTATACTTTCTGGCCTAAGGCCTTAGGAGGCCTTGGCAGTGAAGCTATGATACATCTGTTATTCTTCATTTTCTTCGGAAAGCCACAAAGAATTCTTATTCTAGCATGTAGGGGTGCTAATAGACACACGTTCCAAACCATGTCCCTCTCAGCTCCCAAATCTCTATCTTTTTCCAGTTCTACAGGCTACCCTTTTTTTTTTTAAGCAACTGAGCTTTGTCTGTCTATATGTTTATCTCTGAATGCCATCTGTAGGACACCCATGTGTCCTTGAAATCAGAGCCATGTATTGGTTGTTTCAGGAGCTTACTCAATTTTCAATTCCTCCCAAGGAGATTATAGACTAATGAATAGAAACACAAATATGTGCACATAAAGGCAGTGTGACCAGACACAGAGTTCTGAGCATTCAGAGAGAATTGGGTTAGTCAGAAAAGATGTTGTGGAAGAGAAAGTTTTTTTTTTAATATATTTTATTGATTTTCCACAGAGAGGAAGGGAGAGGGGTAGAGAGCTAGAAACGTCGATGAGAGAGAAACATCGACCAGCTGCCTCCTGCACACCCCCTACCGGGGATGTGCCCGCAACCAATGTACATGCCTTTGACCTGAATCAAACCTGGGACTTTCCAGTCCGCAGACCAATGCTCTATCCACTGAGCCAAACTGGTTTCAGCAAGAAAGTTTTATAGTCAGAAATAAGAACACCACTACACCCCTTTAGATGACTGTAATTAATTTTTTAAGACTTGGATGCCATTGTTTTCAAAATAAATTAGAATTAGTCTCACAAAATAAAATAATATGTCTATAAATGAATATAAAACCAGTTAAAAGAAAGGAGATGTACATATTTCCAGGTGCCTAGAATGACTTAATTACTATATTTGAAGAGTGAATCTGACTTTACCCTTTCTCATAAGTGACAAAAGGGCAAACACTTTGGATGTATCATTTTCACTGTTATATAATACTAAGAAAACAAATTCATCTGCAAAGACAAACTTTTTTTTTCTTGGCCCTGATTTCAAGGAAGTAATTTTGCATGCAGGATACTAAAAAACATAAAAGACAATAATCTTCAAGCCTGGTTTGACCAAGAACAAAAATGAACATAGCTTATAGAGTCTTTATGGAAAGCTCCAGTAATTGAATTTATGCAGAATTAGAACTTAGAAATATAAAGGAATGTGTGGCTTGTTTCAAGTATCAGGTATTTCAAGCTAGACTTTGGTAAGCATAGGCTCACAATCAACTCATGGTAGCATTCTCCACTTCTGGTCCATGTGATATCTAAAGCATATGGATTCCCCTTTAGCCAAAGTTGGCCCTCCAGGCACTGGCCTGACCTGTATTCTCCCTGAGTGAGAGGGCCAACCTACTTGAGCAAATTCAAAGCTCCTTTTTGAATACTAGAGTCCTATTGCATGAAATTCTTGCACAGGTAGGGTCATGAGGCCTGGCCAGTGATCAGGGCTGATTGGGGCCTTCTGGCTGCCATCCAGGACCTTCCTTCCATGGCTGTCAGCTGCCAGCTGGGGTCTCCCTTCCCCAGCTTCTGGCTGTCAGCCAGGGCCTTCCTTTATTCTGCCCTGCTTCCTGGTGGTCAGTGCACATCATAGTGAGCCATCAAACTCCTGGTCCCCAGGTTGAACTCCCAAGGGGACAATTTGCATATTAGGCTTTTATCTATATAAATAGTATTGGTGTTGCCACAAGCACTCTTCAGCTGAGCTTTGAATTTGCTAAAGGATATCTAACATTTGAGGAACAAGAGGTAAAAATGAATAGCAGCTGAGGCCCTAAATGAGCCCAGATGTTTATATGCAATATCCCTTTTATGAAGTTCTATGAAGTATCCCCATTAAAAAAAATGTATATTTTATTAATTTTGGAGAGGAAGGGAGAGGGGAGCTAGAAAGAGAGAAACATAAATGATGAGAATCATTGATTGGCTGCTTCCTACACATACACTACTAGGGGTCAAACCCACAACCCACGCATGTACCCTGACTGGGAATTGAACTGACCTGGTTCATTGGTCAAAGCTCAACCATGAGTTACACCAGCCAGGCTGAAAACACTGAAACTCAGAGAGATAAGGTAACTTCAAGTCAGAGAGCTTGTAATGGATAGATCTGTGATCTAAACTCAGGTGTGATGCTCAACTCCATGCACTTGGACAAGTAATTTACTTATTTAAGAAACACCCATCCCCAGAACTACTGTACCTTATAGTTTAAAAATAAGGAAGCAATTAGTAAAACACCAATTAGGCACAAAAATTTAAGGGCAGTTTGGGGTAAGATTTTCTGTATTTTATGCTATCCTGATATGGTTCTCCCTGTGCTAGATGCCCAGGCATCACCACCAGATAGTCCCATAGGCTACTAATCTTTCTACTTGGTTTTCTCTTAGAGATAAGATGCCGCACATTGTCATTCATTGCAAGTGGCACCTACACCTGCACAAATGGGGCACTTCTTGACTCCCGTTGTGACTACAGCTGTTCCAGTGGCTACCACCTGGAAGGTGACCGCAGTCGAATTTGTATGGAAGATGGTCAATGGAGTGGAGGCGAGCCTGTATGTGTAGGTAAATGTTGGTTTGCTCCCAGTTGTCCTGCTTCAAAGAGCCACCCTGGTATTGTATCCACAAAGAATGTGGAATCCTTACAGCAGAAAGCTTTTCTGCTTGCTATGAGGATGGCACTCTAGATACACCCTTAAAGAAGTTATCACTTCCCCTGCTACTGGAGTCTTCCCCCCAATTTCATTAAGTATCTTAAATAGAGAATGTATCTTTTACCTACCCAGTGGGTACGATATTACTTCTATGGATTCCCTTCAGGGAAGGCAGGGGACCTATGAGTCAGCACCTGATTTCTGATCTTGGCAGACATAGATCCCCCCAAGATCCGTTGTCCTCACTCACGTGAAAAAATGGCAGAACCGGAAAAACTGACTGCTCGAGTATACTGGGACCCACCTTTGGTGAAAGATTCTGCTGATGGTACCATCACCAGGTGAGTAACAGAGCCACTTATGCCTCCCAGCAGCTTCTCCCAGGCTATCAGGCTGAGACTACTGTGATGATATGCCTCTTATCTTAAAAGTCTCTTTCCTTAGTTATTATTTCACTCTGTTCCATGTAGGGTGACACTTCGAGGCCCTGAGCCTGGTTCTCACTTTCCCGAAGGAGAGCATGTGATTCGTTACACTGCCTATGACCGAGCCTACAACCGGGCCAGCTGCAAGTTCATTGTGAAAGTACAAGGTCCGTTCAAAAGAAGTCTTCCATTTTCACATTGTTCATTATTCCTGCTCTGCCCTGACCCTGTAGATGCTCACCACAACCCTCTCCTTTCTATGCCTGAAACAGACACTCATGGGAGAAGGGAAAAACAAGTTCACTAAAAAGGGTTATTCAGAAAGTCTGCATGATATTGTGCATATACACGTTTCAGAAACCCTGACCCCCCAACAGGATTTTCTCATTCTCCTAAATCTAGATAAAATTCACAAAGATATTCTGTATCTCTTTTATTGGCATTCTAATAATCAAATCTAATCAGCCTGCATCCTCAGTCTTTCACCTTTACTGAAATTGGTGGTATTGCATGTCTGATTCTACCCCTTTGTTTAGTGTTGTTTAGCTTTTTCATTATAAATATAATTTATACTCAGTTTTGAACAAGTGGGAAATATAGAAATATACAAAGGAAAAATATATTACCCCATTGTCCATAAGCAACCTTTTAGTATTTTCTTTCTAGTCTTTTATCTACACACTAGGTATCCAGTGCACAAAATTTGTGCACTGGGGAGGGGTCCCTCAAGCCAGCCTGCCCACTCTTACAGAGTGGGAGCCCTCAGAGGATGCCCTACTGACTGCTTAGGCCTGCTCCCCATTAGGAGCAGACCTAAGCTGCAGTCTGGCCTCCCTTTGGGGGAGGTGACCGGCTGATCAGGGGAAGGTGCCAGCCCCATCACCCCACTGTTGCAGCCACTGCCAGTCACCGCAGGTGCCAAGGTATTTTCATCAACACGGACTCCAGTCCCTTCACCATGAAAAAATGACAACTTTCTTTAGGCATTTTCAAGATGTCTTTTTCATAGGATATGACATTCCTTTCTTTCTTTTCTTTTATCCTCACCTGAGGACATGTTTCCATTGATTGTTTTCCCCTTCCCTCTGATCACAGGCTTGGCCCCCCACCCCTCCCATCACCTGCTTGGGCCCTGCCCAAGCCTAGGGGTTTAGGCTTGGGCAGGGAGCCTCCACCCCTCTGATCACCAGCTCAGCCCAAGGATTTAGGCTTGAGCAGGGGGCTCCCTGACCCTCTAATCCCTATCTTGGCCCTTGCCCAAGCCTAAAGCTTCAGCCCAAGGCTTTAGGCTTGGGAAGGGGGCCGTCCACCCCTCCAATCCCCAGCTCAGCCCTTGCCCCTTCCATCACTAGCTCAGGCCACCCAGGCTTTAGGCTTGGGCAGGGGGCTCCCCTGCCCCTCCAATCATCAGCTTAGCCCTTGCCCTTCTGATGGCCAGCTTGGAATGATCTGGATGGCGAGGATGTTCCAGGGATCCAGGTATGTATACAAATTAACCACCATCTTTGTTGGGTTAATTTGCATACTTACTCTGATGGCTTTGGGCATAGCAGAAGTATGGTCAATTTTTTATTATTAGGTAAGACTAGAGGCCCAGTATATGAAATTCATGCACTGGGGAGGGGTGTCCCTCAGCCCAGCCTGTATCTTCTCCAATCTGGGACCCCTCGGGGGATTTTCAACTGCCAGTTTAGGACTGATCCCACAGGGATCTGGCAGTTGGACATCCCCCTCACAATCCAGACTGCTGGCTCCCAACCACTCACCTGCCTGCCTGCCTGATTGCCCCTAAAAGCTTCTGCCTGACAGCCTGATTAACACCTAACTGCTCCTCTGCTGGCCCAGTAGCCCCCAATTGTCCTCCCCTGCAGGCCTGGTTGCCCCTAACTGCCCTCCCCTGCCGGCCATCTTATGGCAGCCATCTTATGACCACATGGGAGCACCATTTTGTGACCACATAGGGGCTGCCATCTTGTGACCAATGGGGGTGACCATCTTGTGCCAGCGTGTGATGGTCAATTTGTATATTACCTCTTTATTATATAAGATACTTTAAAAATATAATTGAGATCATACTGTATATCCAATCTTAGATCAACCTTTTCATTATAATAATTTTCCATGTTCTTTAAAAATTCTTAAGAAATATTTTAATGACACCATAATAATCTACCTCTAAGAATATAATTTGCTTAATATTTTCCCACTGATGAATATTTAAGACTTTTTCTATTCATTTTTAATATTAAAAGTAATTTTATAAGGTGGTCATCCTTACATAAGGTGTCTACAAAGTCTGAAAACAAAAATGGCAATATTTATTTTACAGAATGATGACAATATGTATATTCACTTCTCCTTCCAGATTTTTTGAACACCTTTGTCTGCATTTCATATTTAACTCCTTAAGAAAATTCAGCCTTTATCCTCAGCCATTGGAAATATGAAGTCATTCATTCTGATCATCCTAGGTCTCCTGATCTAGAAAACCCAGCATGGGCACCCACTTAACTTTTTTTTTTCTTAAAAGAGATACCATAGCCCCTAACTTGAACTCCTCCCTGACAGTGAGACGCTGCCCAACGCTGAAACCACCGCAGCATGGCTACCTCACCTGCACCTCAGCGGGGGACAACTATGGTGCCACCTGTGAATATCACTGTGATGGAGGTTATGAGCGCCAAGGGACTCCCTCCAGGGTCTGCCAGTCCAGCCGCCAGTGGTCAGGATCACCACCCATCTGTGCTCGTGAGTGAAACCAGGGAATGAGGAGAGTGAATATATTGATCAGGGCTACTTTGAAGGATCTCCAAATGTGTATAGCATAAGGGTTCAATAGTAATATGTGTGATATGGGAATGGGAGGGTGTTCTAAAATGTGTTTATTTTAAGGGCCATTGTTATCCTTCTGAATAGTCCTATTCCAAGATGAAGGATTTAAAATTTCCAACGGTTCTTTCAGGATTTCCCCAAGGAAAGGGAGAAACAACCAAAAAGGGTTATCCTGAAAGACTGAAATTCCTCAAGATAGAATTACTCATGCTGGGGTGAAGGAGAAGGCCCTATTCTGACTGGCCATCTGTTTCTGCCCTAGCTATGAAGATTAATGTTAATGTCAACTCAGCTACTGGCCTTCTGGATCAGTTCTATGAGAAAAAACGCCTCCTCATCATCTCAGCTCCTGATCCCTCCAACCGATATTACAAAATGCAGATCTCTATGCTACAGGTGAGACCTAATCCCCTAATTCAGGCTTATCTCCATTATATATCCCCTAACCCAACCCCATTATTCCCTTACCTCTTGTAAATCAAAGAGTTGCTTTTTATACAGCACAAACTCTATTTCCTCAAACTCTTTATGGACATTTGATCAGTTTTACTCTATACAAATTTATCACACTTTACTAGTAAAAACTGCTATGTTTTTACTAAAAGGGTATTGAGTAATCTGGAATGGTGGGTGTGACTTACAGAAGGCTTGGAAGGGAGTGTGGTAGAGCACTGTACAGAGACTTGTAAGATAAGTATGATTAAATGTAAATGTTGGGATGAAATTATGTTTATGTTTTCAAGGAATAATAGCATTAAGAAATATTTATATGGTAAGTGCTATATAGGTAATAGTTATAGAAGTATGTGTTTTACGTATATTCATTTATTGTCAAAACAACCCTTTAGAGATAGATACTATTACTATCCTAATTTTAAAGGTAAGGAAACTGAGGCATAGAGAGGTTAAAGATTTGCCCAAGATCACCAGATAATAAGTGACTAGGCCAGGATTGAACTCAGTCTGACTCAAGTATTGGATTAACCAATACTTGTAACAGGAGAGAAAGACAAGTATTGTGATATCTCAAAGTAAAATGAGGGACTTGTACAATGATTTTTTAACACACTATGAGATACCTAACCAAAGGCACTTATGAGGAAGGAAAGGTGAATAGGACAGAATAGATACGAACATTGGGATTTATAAAGAAAATAGACTAGGTTCTTGAAGAGAACTCAGGGTATGATGACAAGACTAAGGAGCTGCAAATGTGTTTTCTAAAGGTTGAATCTTACAAGTTGCCAAGAGGCCCATGATGGAAGCAGCTTTATAAAAAGCATGACCCTGGGTATCTAGACCAATAAGGACCAAGCTCCTCCAGAAATAAAAAATAAAAAAAGGAGGGGGGCAAACAAAGGCAATACCTCCTCTTGAACAGAAATCAAAAATAAGAACTGGAACCAGCCAATGAGGACAGTGATTCAGAAAGTTAGGACTAGATGAGTAGCCCAAAGATTAGAGGAGGGGTTGGGCATCAGGGAGTGTTCACTGAGGCTTTAAACCTTTAAAGGTCATCCCAGGTGGCTGGCTCAGGTGTTAACCCTACAAGACAATGCAGAATAAAGAGCCAGGATAGAATTACAGGGTGTACTGCTGGGTATGAGGAAGGCAACAAAGGGTAATGAAAAGAACATTGGCACTATTTCTGAGAAATCCTGGAGATGGAAATTGTAGCCTAGTGGTAGGGAGCACACACTTGGGTAGGCAGTAGTAGCCCTAAGTTTAAATCTTAGCTTAGAATTTTACTGTCATGCAAGTTTGAGTAAGCTACTTTTTTACTCTACAGAATATCACCTGCTTTGTTAGGGGTATTATGAGGACTGAGTTAGATTATGCCTGCAAAGCATTAGGTATGTGTATTCAGTAAATAATAGACATTATTATCACATCATAATTTCTATCCATTAAGAACCTATATTGCTTCCAATTGTAATATAAACAAGTTATGGTGACTATAGTTAATAATACTGCATTGTATATTTTAAAGTTGCAAAGAGAGACTTGTAAAATAAATATGATTAAATGTAAATGTTGGGATTTACATTTAATCATACTTATTTTACATTGCAAAGAAAGTAGATCTTAACAATTTTTATTACAAGAAAAAATATAACTATGTATGGTGATAGATGTTAACTAGACTTCTTGTGGTGATGATTTCATAATGTATGCAAACATTGAATGATTATGTGGTATACTTGAAATTAATATTATGTCAATTAGTATCTCAATTAAAAAAAAACCTACATAGTTTAAAACCTATAAAAAATTAAGGAAGTAGGGATTGTGTTCCTGCAATTTATAAATTATATTTCTCTTTTCTACCCCAAATGTTATAACCAGCTTCATGCACTTCATTAGAATTAAGAAAACACTGTTAGGGCAAGTAACTCAGGAATGACAGAGGGAAGAGCTTGTAGAGCTTGTAGAGCTCGGAGAGAAGGCATTCCTTTCCCACACTGCCTCACTGTGGTCCCTGGAAGAATCAGCCAAGTAGTCTTAGGTTTGAGTCTGCGACCCTATTTCATAAAACCTTCTCTCCCCTCCCAGCAATCCACCTGTGGACTGGACCTGCGGCATGTGACCATCATCGAGCTGGTGGGGCAGCCACCTCAGGAGGTGGGGCGCATCAGAGAGCAACAGCTGTCAGCCAACATCATCGAGGAGCTCAGGTCCAGGCTGAAGGGTCACAGGGAAGGGGTGGACAGAAACCCTAGGTGAAACACTGGCAATAGGAGGGTGTGAGAGAATCAACTATACTACTCTCTTGGGGCACTACCATGTTTGAACTCTTTGGGTATATTAATTAAGATCAGAGTGGCCAGATATAAGAATCAAATGGAGGGAGGCTTAAAATACAGAGAACCAAACTCTATCCCAAACCATCTCAGGACTGTCCTTCAATCTCCAATAGGCAGTGAAATCTGAATCATATCTATCTGCCCTTGAGGGAAGAATAGGCGGTAGAAGTTGATTTTTCTCATCTATCCATTATCACCCTTCCGATGCCTCCATATGTGCTCAGAGCCAATAAAGCCAACACTGCTGTCTTTTTTAGATACACTACCTGCCTCTAGGTCTCATTCTCAGTAGGGACAGAAAGATTCAGTCCCAGGTAGGGGAGAAACTGAGAAACACTCAGAGGAAGGAGACTGTAGACTTGCAGCTACAGATGGAAGAGTTGATCAGGTGAATTGATCTACCTATGAGCTATGATGTATGGCTATGATGCAAGTATGCCCAGCTCAATTCTAGAAAATACTAGTCATATCATAGTGCATGTGACTGATGCTCCTTGGACTTATTCTATGCAGCCCACATTGCTATATGAGGGAAACATCACCTAGTAATAATGTAGCTGCTCCATCCACAGTGAGGAAGGGACAGCTTAGCGGAGCCAGACATACAAAATCAGAAGTGCAGGGTCAGAGCAGAGAAAAGCAAAGGGGTCTGAGATAGGTAGTAGAGAGGATGGGGACAAGGACTCAGTTGGGGAAGGAATTAATCCATCAGTGGAGCTATAAAAGGTCAGAGGGTAATAAAGCCTGGTGGAATGAAGCCCAAGATCTCACATCTACCTGGACTCCCCTCTCTAGGCAATTCCAGCACCTCACTCGCTCCTACTTCAATATGGTGTTGATTGACAAGCAAGGAATTGACCGGGAACGCTATGTGGAACCTGTCACCCCAGAGGAAATCTTCACATTCATTGATGACTACCTACTGAGCAATCAGGAACTGACCCAGCGTCGGGAACAAAGGGATGTATGCGACTAAACTTGAGCCAGGGCATGGTTGAGATCAAAGGAAAAACTCTGTTAGTTGGCTGAAACCAGGGTCTAATAAAAGGAGGAAATGGTTTCCCATAATTCTAGAGACAGACTCAGAAGTAGGTGAGGTTCACCAATCTTGGGACATTTCCAGGAACCTTTTTAGGGCTGCATAATAGTTTCCCTAAGCAAGTTTCTGCTTTAAGTAGCACTGGAGAAGCATAAGAAGCTACATAGGGACTGAGGAGAAACCCTGGGCAGTGGGCTGGTGGTAGGTTTTCCTTTCCTAACCTGGGGTTCTCCCAGCTCTTCAAAGTCTTCTAGATAAGTAAATCCTAAATTCATTCACTAACTGACTGTCAGTTTTGTGTGATATTTTTTGTTGTTTTGTTTCTACATTAGTAAGCATTTAATAATATTGTTTCGTCATTTTTAAAGCCACTATTCTTTGTGACACCTTTCTATATTTGGGGCTTACTAGAATACACAAACATTTAAATTAGTACTTTGAAACAACAAGTTTGAGGTTGGGTTGCAACATGTATAACATGTTTTCTTGAAGGGCCATCTGGATTAGATGGACTGCCAGGTTTTAAGGGGACCCCTGGCGACACCAGACTACCTTGCAACCAGCACAATGATGAGAGGTTTTATTTTCAACTGGTACAGTCAAACCACAGCAATTCCTTCTTGTCCTGGAGGAACAAAGCTGCTCTATAGTGGGTTTTCCCTTCTTTTTGTTCAAGGAAATGAACTAGCTCGTGGACAAGATCTGGGTAATGTCCCAGCCCCAGTTCTCAGTTACTTGGTTCCAAATTCAGATTGTTAATTTTTATGGCATAGGGTACTTTTCTCTGAAGTTAAGTATAAACAACCTTGGGTATTTTATAGCACTCTTTTAAAAAGAGTAGCCCTGGCTGGTTTGGCTCAGTGGATAGAGTATCGGCCTGCAGACTGAGGGGGCCTGGGTCAATTCTTGTCAAGCGCACATGCCCAGGTTGTGGGCTTGATCCTCGCACTGGGATGAGTGCGAGAGGCAGCCAATCAACGATTCTCTTTCATCACTTATGTTTCTATCTCTCTCTCCCTCTCCCTCTGAAATCAATAAGAGAGAGAGAGGGAGAGAGAGAGAGAGAGAGAGAGAGAGAGAGAGAGAGAGAGAGAGAGAGAGAGAGAGAGAACCGAAACCGGTTTGGCTTAGTGGATAGAGCATCGGTCTGTGGACTGAAGGGTCCCGGGGTTCAATTCTGGTCAAGGGCATGTACATTAGTTGCAGGCACATCTCCAGTGGGAGGTTTGCAGGAGGCAGCTGGTCGATGTTTCTAGCTCTCTATCCCTCTTTCTTCCTCTCTGTGAAAAATCAATAAAATGTATTTAAAAATAAAAAAATAAATAAAAAAGTGAGCAAACAAAACATTGGCTTCATGTATACGTTTTCTTCTGGAATGTAAAAATCTTTTTAATTAAAGTATAATTGATATACAATATAATATTAGTTTCAGGTATATAACATAGTTAGATTTCACACTTATTCACCTTACAAAGTGATCACCACAAAAAGTCCACTAACTATATCACCATAAAAAGTTATTGTAATATTATTGATTGTATTCCCTATGCTGTACTTTACATTCTGGTGACTCCTTTATAAGTTTGTATCTCTTTGTAATCCCTTCACCTTTTGCCCATACCCCCCCACCACCCAACCCTCAGGCAACTCTCAGGATTTTTGTATCTATGAATCTGTTTTATTTGTTCATTTGTTTAGTTCTGTAGATCCCACACAAAAGTTAAATGATATAGTATTTGTTTTTCTCTGACTTATTTCACTTAGCATAATATCCTCTAGGTCTATCCATGTTGTCACAAGTGGCAAGATTTCATTCCTTTTCATGGCTGAGTAAATATTCCAGTGTGTTTAAGTTGTATGTTTGTGTGTATACACATATATATTAACTTCTTCTTTATCCATTCATCTATTGATGAATACCTAGGTTTCTTCCATATTTTGGCTATTGGAAATAATATTTATCTTTCTTAGTGAGATTTTTTGTTTCTTTCATTGATTTCCTTACTAGCGGCCCAGTGTATGAGATTTGTGCACTGGGAGCAGTCCTTCAGCCTGGCCTGAGCCCTCTTGCAGTCCAGGATCCCTTGGGGGATGTCCTTCTGCAGCAGCAGAGGCAGGAGAGGCTCCTGCCACCAGCCACCACCGCTGAGCTCACCAGCCCTGAGCCCAGCTTCTGGCTGAGTGGCGTTCTTCCTGTGGGAGCACACTGACCACCAAGGGGCAGCTCTTTCATCGAGCATCTGCCCTCTGGTGATCAGTGCACATAATAGCGACCAGTTGTTCTGCTGTTCATTCGATTTTCATATTATGCTTTTATTATATAGACTTTCTAGTTTGGGCTTTCTTTTCCAATTAAATAATTCCCTTTAACATTTCCTGTAATGCCAATTTAGTGGTGATGAACTCCTTTAGCTTTTGCTTGTTTGGGAAAAATTTCATCTTTCCTTCAATTGTGAATGATAACCTTGCTGGATAGAGTATTCTTGGTTGTAGGTTTTGTCCTTTCATCGTGTTGAATACATTGTGCCACTCCCTTCTGGCCTGCAAACTTTCTGTTGAAAGTTACCTGACAGTCTTATGGGCATTTCTTTGAAAGTAACTTGTTATGTTTCTCTTGCTACTTTTAAAATTCTCTCTTTAACGTTTAACAATGTAATTGTAATGTGTCTTGGTGTGGGTCTCCTTGTGTTCATCTTGTTTAGGACTTTCCATGCTTCCTGGACTTGTAAGTCTATTTCTTCCACCAGGGAGGGGAAGTGTTCTGTCATTGTATCTTCAAATGGATTTTCAATATTTTGCTCGCTCTCTCTTCTCCTGACACCTCCATGATACAAATATTATATTTTAAGTTGTCCCAGAGGCTCCATACACTATATTCATATTTTTTCTTTTTTTCCTTTTTGTTCTTCTGATTTTGTGTGTGTGTGTGTGTGTGCGTGTTGTTTCCTCATAATCTAAGTTGCTGATTTTATTCTCTACATCCTCTATACTATTGTTGATTCCCTATAAATTATTCTTTATTTCAGTTAGTGTATCCTTCATTTTTGACTGATGTTTTTTTCATGTCTTTGAAATTCTCACTGAGAACCTTTAAATTCTCACTAAATCCCTGAAGCTCTCATTAAGTTCTTGAGCATCTTTATAACAGTTGTTTTTGAACTCTGTATCTAGTAGTTTCCTTGATTCCATTTCATTAAATTATTTTTCTATAAATTTTTTTTGTTCTTTCATTTGTGACATGTTTCTTTGTCTCTGAATTTTTGCTGCTTCCCTGTGTTTGTTTCTATGTATTAGAGCTGCTATGTCTCCTGGAATTGATAGAGTGGCCTTGTGTAATAGGTGTCCTATAGGGCCCAATGGCTCAGCCTCCCCAGTCACCTGAGCTGGGCAGTCTAAGTGCGCCCCACTGTGGGCTGTGTGCACTGTCTTGTTATAGTTGAGCCTTGATTGCTGTTGGCATCAATGGAAAGAATTGACCTTCAGACCAATTGACAGTGAGGACTACAGAAAAAGAGCTGCTGTGCAGGAAATACCCTTATTGGGCAGGACTTGCTTCAGTGGGGCTTTGGTGCTCACTAAGTCTGCCCCATGAGTATGTCACTTGTGAATGTGTAGAGTTATAATCTGGAGTGATCTGAAGCTGTCCACCAGGTGCACTGGCTCTGGGGCTTCCTAAAGGTTCAAAGTCAGCCACTGCCTGTGCCCTGCATAAGCCACAAAGTGATCTGCAAATGGTTGCTACCTGTGTTGGGCTTAGAGGTGCCCAGCAGAGTCCAAACTGTGAATGAAGGCAGGCTTCTGCTGGTGCTGGGCCTGCAACTGTTTATCAAGTGATATGGGGCATGCTGAGTCCAGCTGCTACTTGTTTGAGAGATTTTAGGAGAGTCTGAAACCTGAACCAGGACTGGCCATTCATATGGAAAAGCCACTGCAAACACCTTGGATAGGGCAGCAAATTGGGTGAAGCAGGGTCTCAGGGAATCATCAGGGCAGGGCAAACAGTGTGAGGCAGATTGATGGAGAATTAGATATGGTGTTTGCCACTCAGCTATGTGGTGGAGAAAGTTTCAGCATAGAAACAATGACCTCTGCAAGAACTTTTGCCAGAGAAAGTTGCCCCTGAGTTCTTGCCTTGATAGCAGACAATTTAGTTCCTCCCCATATGTCCCTGGATCCTTTCAAGCTGCTGCCTAAGCGCTGGAGCTCAGAGGGAGTGAGTCCATGTGCTGGTCCTTTAAGAGGAACTGTCCTGGTCTCTAGCAACCTCTGTGTCACTCAGCCACAGTCCCTGCTAAATTTTGTAGCCCGAAATTACAAGGACTTCTTTTTCCAGCACTGGAACCCTGGACTGAGGGTCTGGTGTGCGGCTGGGATATCCAGAGCCAAGATATCCCTCCCAATTAAAAAAACACCACACATGGGTGTCAGACCAGCCGAGTCCAGCCTCCACTCCTCCTACCAGTCTCAATGTGCTTTCATCTTTAATTCTCTAAGTTGTAGGTCTGTCATTCAGCCAGATTTCAGGTGGTTATGAATGATGGCTCTTCTGTATTTTAGTTGTAATTTTGATGTGGTTGTGGGAGGATGCAAGTACCACATTTACCTACCCCACTAGATGTAGCAGATCAGGAGACATTTGAAAGGGTGCTAGACTGGGTGGGTTCTCAGGAACAGACCAAGGAGGGGTGAACTGTGTTAGCAAGCTTAATGGAGAAATAGTTCCTGCCAGTGTCTGACCAACTAGGTTAAAGAAAGGAGAGAAACTGTCACCCACCAGCAACTCTGACTCAGGAGAAAGTTCTGACAGATTAGCTTATCTCCAGTACATACCTTAAAATTAGTCTCAGCGTATCACCTTTACTTATGACCTAAGTTCTTTTCAAACTTCTGCCTCTGTGCCAGGACTCAGAAAGAGCACAACCTGGGTTCCTACAGCC